GATCATTACTTCGTGATGAACAGTTTTTATGGCCTCGTCAGCAGGAGATGGTTTGGTTGTTTGTTTGTTTGTTTGTTTGTTTGTTTTTGTGGCTCTTCTCTGAAAACCTAGAAACTTGGATAAAACTTGTCGTGATGCTGCTCATTAATCCAGGTAGATGAATCTAAACAGAGGTTGACGGTTTGATCTGAGAGGACTTCGGGCCTTAGAATCAAACATGTGGACCGGCTGGTCCTCAGCTGTAGAACCCAGAACGGTTCCTCAGCTCCGTGTTCTCCCTGATTGACTCTTAAGAAGACTATAGTTGATATCAAACGAGCTCATCGCGGCGCAGCTATTGATTTTTTGACACCACACAACAGGAAATCTTTATCTCCGTGCTGCTCTGACCCCCTGCTAATAGGCGGGGTTTAACCTCTGCTGGATGACAAACACCTCCCTCCAGTCTTTGTCCCCCCCCCCCCCCCCCACACACACACACACCTCTGTTAAACGAAGACATGTTAATTAACCTGCAAACGTTCATATCATTTAGTTCTCCTGGTTTTATGGCTGCAGTTGGATTGTTTCTATCAATAAATTAGAGTTTTGAGGAACCCTCTGGTGTTTCTCAGAAACGTCTCTTCTGTCTCCGTCCTTCAATCAGAACCTGCTTCTCTGCCTCCTACCTGGCGTTTCTCATTAATGACCACTCCTGTCATCTCTAACGCCGCCTGATAAAAGGCCTCCATCCAACAACAAGCCACCTCGCCTCCTTTCCTCCCTCTCATCTTCCTCGCTGCAGCCCCTCCTCCTCCTCCTGGGTCCCCGGAGTCCGGCGGCCCCGGCTCGGATGCAGATAGACATTTCTGGGATAGACATCTACTGCTCGGGACGGCACAATCATTTCCATTTTACCCTCTGTTGCACAGGCGAGATAAGACACCTGCGTGGCAGCGCTAATCAGATGAGCTTCAACAGAACTTTATGGTTGACATTTACCACTGTTTACCCACTAATTTCTCTTAACGCCACCGCTGAACTTTTATCTGCAGAATACACAGAGCAGCAGAAAGAGCAAGAAGCAAACATGCAAATTCACAAATATGTGAAGAAAGATAAACTAAGAGCAGCTGCTGCTTCTGTTCAGAGGACGAAGGAGGTGAAAACAGGAGGAGTGACAGGACCACTGCTGCTGAGCTCAGCTAAACTCCTCCTCGTCCTCCTCGTCCTCCTCCTCCTCCTCCTCCTCCTCCTGCACACAGTTCTAATTTTCAGACAGTAATGAGAAGGATGTTTACCAACATCTGCAAACCGTGTCAGACCATGATCCGCTCAGACCATGATCCGCTCATAGCCCTCAGGGGTCCCCAGGGGGCTCCAGGTGACCTCCAGGTGACCTTCAGGGGTCTTTAGGGACCAGTAGTCTGCTTGGATTCAATCACAATCATTTTTGTGTAACAACATGACTCAGAAGTGTTTGGTACCAAACCCCCGGTCCTCTGGATCACCGAGTTGGACCGATGTTTGAGTTCTAAAATCTTTCCATCAGTCGGGCCTCGGATCAGAACCAGGATCAGAACCAGGTTGTGTGTGCTAGAGAGGGCAGAAGCATTTCTGATTGATTTATTTTTATTATTTAGTTGAATAAGAAAATTATTTTTCAGTTTCTCAATCATCCATCCATCATCCTTCCATCATCCGTCCTTCTTGCCCATGTTGTGGAGGCAACAGGTCCTGACCTCCCGCTCTCCAGTTCCTCATGGAGGATCCTAATCTGTTCTGGGTCCAGCCTGGGGTCTCCTCTCAGAGGGACAGGTCCACGAGGCATTCCGATTAGATGTCTGAACCTCCTCAGCTGACTCCTTCTGATGAGGAGGAGCAGCTCTCCTCTGAGCTCCTCACCTTGTCTCATACCTTACCTCCAGGATCTGATTCTTTTAGTCCTGATCCAAACCTCAGGTGGAGGCTGGAACTTTGATGGACCAGCGAATTCAGAACTTCAGCTCCTTCACCACGACAGACCGGAGCAGCTGTGGATGTGGTAGTAGCTGAGAGTCCTCCTCCACATGTTCTCTGATCACCAACAGATCAGGCAGGGGGCGACATGCATTCCTTCACTGAACACCCGTTTCATTTTTAAAGTCAGTGTTTCCTGAGCTTTAATGGTTTGGGGCTCTTTGGTGGTTCTGGTTGTGGTCCGGTCCATTCAAGTACTGTCCTGACACTGTGTTTAAATCCGGTCGGGTGGTTCAGAATCAGGTCCACAGTAACGTCGGAGTGTGTTGGAGCTGCTGTCACAAATTGAAAGTGAGGACCTTCCAGAAACCCCCCTGATAATCGATGTAAATTAATTAGAAAATGTTTCTTGACATTCTTCGCTCAGATGGAGGAGCGGGAAAGACTGAGGCGAAGCTAAGAATTAATTGTACGCTATGTGGCTCTGATAATTAATTCAATCATTAATTCATGTCTGCTTTAACAACTCCTTCTGGCTGCGGCGAAGAAGGACATTTCAATCAGCCCCGTATCAGCGGCTCGGGAGGGAGAAAGTTCCAGACAGGAATCAGAACTCCCGGGTCATTTAGAGGTTCTGCAGGACTGAAAATATCTGTGTTGAGAAATGATGTCGTTATATCTTGTTTTCTTTTTTCTTTTCTTTTTTAACCCTAAAAACGATGTCGCGTGTGATGTCATCAGGGTTATCTGTCATCCCTCAAAGTTTGTGCTGGGAGGACTCTGCTACTACCACACTCATGGACTCGGTGTCAGTTTTCTGTGGTGGCCATCTTGAATTGGTTTGGCTCCAAAAGTTAGTCAGCTGTCGATAAATACTTTATGACACATCCACGTTCAGTGCTTCACGAGACATGTTGCTAACAGACAAACAAGTTTGTATACGAGTGAAAACATTATCGCTCTGCGTTTGCCTTAAGAGTTTGTCCTGAAGCTGACAACGCTGCGCTCACCACCCGTCTGAATGTTTTTCAGCTGTTTCAACAGCTCTTGTCTCAAAACATTCGGCTCATTTGGGACATTCCTGCTCTCACTTTTGGTATTTGTGTAATTCTTACTTTTTGACGTTTGAAGCTTTGTCGGCCATGTGTTCCTCAGGAAATGGAGCTCTTCGCTTCCTTCCAACACTTTGAGCTGTTTAAAACTTTTACTGCTCATTTCAGCTTTTCTTCTGCCTTTTACAGCTTCTTTCTGCTAATTTAACTTTTTTTTCTTTTTAGGTTCTGTTTAAGTATTTTCTAGGTATTTTTTCTACCATTTATTAGCTAACTTATGCTTTTTGTGCTTCTTTCCAGTAATTGTAACTTTTTATGCTCCTCTTTCTGCAAATTTCAGCTTTTTTTTTTTTTTTTAGCTGTTTCAGCTACTTATTTTCTGCTCTTTCAGTTTATTTTTTTTGCTCATTTCAGATTCTTTGTAATCGATTCAGCTGCCTGTTTCAGATATTTTCTTCTCATGACTGCAACATTTTGCCTCTCTTCAGCTTTTTCTACCCATTTCAGCTGTTCTTTTTCTGCCTTCAGCTTTTATTTTCCTGCTTTCAGAAAATGTCAGCTGTTCAAGTTCAGCCCACATTAGCCATTCCGAGATGAACCTTTTCAGCAGCCTTCAGCAGGTTGTTCAGCAACAAGCGTTCGCGCTGCCTTTTCTCTGGTTAGAATCTATTTTATGTTTTGAGGAAGGTCCGGTTCAGCTGTGCTCGGTACAGATTAAACAGATTAATCCAAGACGATCAAAATCCACAAGTTCATATTTGAAGCCAAAGAACAAAGAAGCAGTAGGACAGATATGTGGTCTGGTTAATGTCCAGCTCGGTTCTGACTCAACAGAACAAACTGCTGCTTGTTCAGGAGGTGCTATCTGTTGGTTTACTGAGGTCAGGTCCTCCTGAGGTTTCACAACCCGGGTCAGCCGAGCTGCTCGGCCCGATAAGCTCCCCATGTGCCGAGGATGGGCCAATGGCGGTGCGGCGGGCTGGACTCAGATGGAGAGCACAGATAAGGAGGGTCAACGTGTCCAAACGGGCCCGTCACTTTCCGGACCACATGCTGGACTTGGGACTCTGCTGATCCATGGTCTGAGAAGGACTGAAGCCCAAAACTATAAGGATCCAGTAGCACCTCATCAGGACCTGTGAGCCAGAATAGTTCTGCTCCGGTCTGAATCGTGTCTAAATGATTCAGCCCAGCGGATCAGGAGAGTCCGTCTGAGCCCGGTATCAGCCTCTCATGTGAGGTGTAGGCAAAACCACGAGACCACACACACGGAGAGAGAAGGGTGTGTGTTCTGGTCCTGATGATCCAGATCCCATCAGCTCCATATGATGTGGTCACTGCAGCACCTATGAGCTCAAACAAACAACAAGTTCTGCTCCGTTATGGCCACCAGAACCTGTTTTTATGATTTTAATGTCTTCTTCTCGCTTCCTTGTCTTACTTCCTGTCACCCCTCATCACCCCCACCCCCACCCGGCTGTGGGAAAGCCATTTTATCAGCGTCTGTCCGTTGTTCTCTGCTGGGGAAAGATACAGAGAAGATAGATGAGTGTTTTGACATGGAGAGTGTTAGACAAACACTCTTATCTGGACCGCCACTTTAGACCGACCCCCCCCCTGAAACAGTCTGCTGAACCATAGGCAAAATGGGGGGGTTGATCAGATGAGGAGGTCAAAGCCTGCAGCGACCCTGGAGGCAGCTCCAGGGTCGCTGCAGGACGACTCCTTCATTTATCCTCAGATGTGCAGAGACTTTTCTGAACTCCAGTTCTCTCTGCTGCCTCGGGTCTTTACATGGATGGATCAGTTCCTCCGGACCCACCGGGTATCTGGGTTGCAGCTGCTCAGCTTGGTCCAAGCGGTTCTCCACGGTTCGGGTCCAGTTCAGTCTAACGTCCAGCTCCTCGTGTGATCAGAGACCCACCTTAGTCCAACATTTTCCCTCCAGCGCATTGGAACGTCTTGCAGCCTCACAGGAAGTCTGATGTTACTCCCTCCTCTTCCTCACAGACGACCTGCAGCTGAGTGATGAAGGTGGCGACGGCAGCAGACAGGTGGTGGCCATCAGAGACCTCCAGCCTGACACCGTCTGGGGCCCCTACCCAGGAATCGTCCAATCAGAAGGCAGCACCGCTGACCAGGAAGCAGAGGTAAGAGCTCCCGAGCCGATCCTGTTCTCAGGATCTCAGGACCAGTTAAATATGTTTTTTAATTGATGAGGTCATTCCAGCCCAGCACCAGTGACAGCTGAGGAGATGACCAGGTGCATTATGGGAGATATTTCTGAGCTATAATCAGTGTTACTGACGTTAAACGCATAATTTCTTTATTTTCCTCACATGGGTTGAACCAGATCAGAGTTCACATGAAGGGTCCGTCCTGTTAGCCCCAATGCTAAAAAAAAACCCAAAAGTTAAAAGTTTAGTTTTATTACAGAACTTCTGACAGAAAGAAAGATTAAAATTTATTTTATCATTTGCTTATTTTAATGTTCTAGTTTAACTTAAATTAAAATTTAATTTCTTCTCTGAGTGAAATTCATTTCATATGAAAATTATTTAATTTGAGAAAAACGTCTGGATCATTTGGACCTCACACACACACACACGCGTACACACACACGCGTACACACACACGC